GTAGCTTTAAAACAAGGAAATCACCTTACATACTTTGATGGAGTCACTGCTGTAGGGTTTATTTGTTTGAGCAGCCACGTTAAAAAAACAATGTATAGCATTGTCATGATACTTGAAATACCTGCTTAATGGAATTGTTGGTTTAAGGATCTTGTCCTACTCATTGACTGCCTCAATTGTCAAATGGCAAGACAAGTAATTGGCTGTACCCTGCCTGCCTGATCCATACTCATGGCAGCCTTCAGAGCTGAGGGAACTGAGTTTAGGCAGTAAAGTGCTCCACATAAATTGCTTTGTATCACGGTCCAGATTTAGGATCTACAGCTGCCTGTAGAGTTGTGTTCACCTTCACATGAGTGAAACTTTGATCCTCATCCTACTTGAGAGAGAAGGAAAATAAAATTTCACTACTAAGAAATGCTTTTTCATGGTGCACTCTGAGAGCAAACCTCTTCTGAGCTGGCCTGTACAGAATTTCCAGACAATTTAATGATTTCACAAAGCCTAAGAAACATACCCCGTCCCTATAAAATTCGGCCCATTCCAGTAATCTGGTTCTGCCACATGAGCAAGGTAAGTGACTTTATGCTCTAATTTTAGACTCAATACAATTTGCTGACATGTGTGCGAATGGAAAATAATTCCTATTGGGAGTGGAAACAAATTGGTAATAATGTTACTGGAAATTGGATATAAAGGCAATCAATCCTTCCACTTGCCCTCTCATCAGGGGCAACCAAAGGCTCCAGCCAAAGGCTCCAAAAGATTTAAAGCAAGACAACTTAATGGCTGCAAACAGCAGAAGCAGGTGGCTCACACCAGTACCTCCCCCAAGCCCCAAAGGGTTAAATTGCCGTATGTAGCTACTAAGTATGCGTGTGAAAATTTCAAAAGCATGCGAGTGAGCCATCTGGCTCCTGCTCCTACTGGGTATTTGGGGATGAAAAGGGAAACTGGAAAGGTAAATAGTGTATTGCTTGATGTGTTGATTTTCAGCTGAGATTTCTCTCTTCAGTGCCTAGTCATATTTGTCCATCTAAATGAGTGGGATTGACTGTATCTTCCCAAAAAGAGGTGAAAAAATTAGCATGTAAGCTCTGGGAGAGCTATGCAAAGCCACACTCTGCCTCATGTAACAGCTGAGGCAAATTTATTCTGGTCTGCATCCAGAAAAAGGCCTCAGTCTTTCAGTGTCTAACTCGTGTGCAGGGATGGCAGGAGGCTTCTCACCCCGGGCACAGGCAGGATCAGCTGCCGTGGACTGAGATTCCAGAGAGCTGCCCCAGATCTGGGGCAAGCATCATGATCACCACAGAGAGTCACGCATCAGCTCAGACTGCAAAGAGAATGATTTCCTACTTCAGTGTGTGTGCCAACCCAGCATTTTTTTTATTTTTTTTATTATTGTATTTTATTTTCCCCTGGGTAGAGATCGAGTGGTGGGAGAAAGCAGGATGCTGCTCTGCTGACAGCACTCTGGTTTGTCACCTGGGTCAGCATGTGGCTCATTTGGGAGGCTGGCCTGGCCACATCCCTGACACACTCCCATGGTTGGAAGGTCTCAAACCTTGCCAGTGATGACTGTTGGAAAATATGCCAAGTTTAATTTTTTTAATTTTATAACTTTAGCCAGATTTTCACAGAATCACAGAATGAACTAGGCTGGAAAAGACCTTTGATACCATCAAGTCCAACCTGTGTTCCCCTTTGCTGTGAGGGAAAGGAATTAAGGGTTTCTTTCCAGGGCATTGTTCCACCAGGTTAGCATCTCAACAGACTGGGAGTAGCCCAAAAGCTACCCCAAAATATAACAACCATCAGCAGAAAATCAACAACTAGCAACAAACATTTACTTCAGATGCTGCCCCTGGCATGGTTGGAGACACCTGGTCCAGAAAAGACTGATAAGGAAATCAGGGAGTGAGAACTTAATTAACATCAGAGGTGAAGAAATCCATATCCAGTAGGAAGCCAAATACTAAGACCTATGTAGCTTGGAGCCAATGAACATTGAACCAATGAATCTCTCTGGGTCTTGACTGTATAAAGTCTGCGAAAAATCTGGTAAAATTCATGTGTCATGGAATGGTTTTCTCTGCACACCTGGGCTATGTGAGAATGAAATTATTTCTGTTGCACATCCTGGCCAGAACAATATCCTGTCCAGAAATAAAGTAATGCCTTGATTCTCTTAACACTAAAAATGTTGTTGGTGTGCTTTTGTTTTTCCTGCAGTTTTGGTGACACCAACAATACCGTTTTTTACCTGTGACTTCAGGTGTCAATTCACACTGAATATCTCTGATTCCATCTGTAGGAGATGGACACTCAAGACTCCTAAAGTCCAGGTTGGGCTATGAGCAAAAGAAAAAGCTGGTCCCGGGACTGAACCTAAAGCATGTCTCCAGCTCTGCTACAGCTGCCCACACTCTTCATCACACAACACCCTAATCCCACTCCTGGCATGTGTTCCCTCCTCCACCTCCTGCCACAACACTTGAGGTTCCCACAGTACCTTGCCCTCCAAGTCCTGATCCCTGTGACTCTTCCTCCTCCGTAAAAGGAGCTAAAACAACTCTTTCTTGCCTAGCTTAAAAATAAGCTGTGCCTTGAGGTCATCTATTTATACCTTTTTTTGGTTGTAGTTTTATTGAAAAAGCTGGTATTAACATATTTATATTTTTATTCAACAACAGTTAGCTAATTTGTGCAACACAAAAAATGCAGCCATGAACAACAGCTTCCAAAACAATCAGATTTACCAACTTTACCATTACTTACTCTACACCACTGAAAGCTCAAACTAAAAAGAGAAAGTTGGAAACGTTCACAATGACGATGTTAACTTTTTACATTCAAGAAACCAGGAAACTGATCTATAACAGTGATGTCAAAGATAGGAATGGAATACTGGTCTTTGAAAGGTTTCTATTTATTTTCTCTATAATTACTTCATGGTATTTTGGTTGGGTATTTAATTAGTTTTATAAAGCTCCAAAGATATATTTGTTTATTTAATTTTAACATGTTCTTTTTGGTACCCAAAGCTGCAACAGAGTAAGGTACTTCAAATTAAAAACAAAAAATGGTTTGCATTAAGATCTGCTTTATAATAAGTTATCTATAGAATCTTACTTGAGAATGTTAAAAGCTAAATATATGTTTTACAGTATCTCTAGCTTTAAATGCCAATATGAGCTGATAGCATTTTTTTTTTCTTTTTGAGCTGCAAAGATTAATGGAGGGGGCCAAAAGTCAAAGAAATTGTATGACACCCTTGAAGCAGTAGTTTGGCATTAACAAGTTCTCTATACAATTTACCACACTCTTAAACCTTTTTACAAGGAAAAAGAAAAGGAAAAGGCAATTTTGTTAAACTTCATTAGAATAAATATGTACATATACTGTCCATGCCTGCTACAGCATACAGTATTTTATAAACAAACATTCTTTGTTCCCTTTAAAATCACCCTACACATTTCATACTATATGTGTTTAATGTGGCTGGAAATTGGTGCACGTGTTTGTGCTTCTACACACAAAATATACAGCATTGATCTAGAAAACTTCAAACAGACAGATTTCAGGTGTGGCATTGAGATGTCCTACAAAAACTCTAGACTTTGTCTTTTTTTTATTTCTTGTAAGCAGATTTTCACCCACCCTTCCCCTAAACCAAAATACAAAAGCATGCAGATCCCTTCATTAGTACATTCTCCACTTACCAAGAAACCAGTGCATAATGGCTTAATTTTTTTTTTCTGAGGAGTTTTAATATGGGTGGATTAACAGGTCACGTGAGTTGTGCTCTTTTATTCATGGGTAGAGTAGGAATCCTTTGGGATATTGAATTTTCTGCCAGAGCTATTAAGAGTGCAGCAGAACTTTCTTTTCCTGGATTAAGAGGACTTCCTGCCCACTGCACCATTCCCGTACCATTCCTGCCTGCCCTACTTTGCCTGTACTTTCCTTTTCCATTTACGTCACTCATCATTACAGAGCAGAGAGAGATCTAACAGCATTTTTCTGTGGAGGAAGGTTTTGTTAGGTTTGGATTTTTCAAATTTTCATGTTTCTCCAGGACTAACTTTGTCTCCCTGAAGTAGCCTAATTTAAAAGTGTTAAAATTCCCTTGGCGGTGCTGCCTCTCACAGTTACAGACACCAGGCATTGCCTGTATTCCCCAAAGGCCAGAGTTAACATAACTATTCTGCAAACATCAAACAAGGGACTTTATCAAGTGTCTAGCAGGACTGTAACTTTGTTCACACTCAAGTTGGTTGCTGCCTTCAAGGAAAGCACTTCTAGCCAAGGTTTCCAGAACTCCAACCCCAAATGGTAGCACAGGTTTGTGTGTGAATTGCCAGGCTGTGTCTGACAAACCAGTCCCTCCAGAGCTGCAATGCCAAGTTTTTTAATAGTCCTCACACAATAAAGATACTACTTATTGTTTTAAACAGAGTAAAGAGAACCATGGAGAGAATAAATTTCTTAAAATAAGCTGGCTGAGTAACTATACCAGTCTGTCACTTACTCACGTGGGAAGGTGAAGCACAAAGTAATGTGATAAATAAATAAATAAATAAATAAATAAGAGGGTATAGTAATGAAGGGAAGGGGATGGGTGAGATGGGGCAGCTTTTCACCAGCAGGGATTCTGCTTCCAGCTCTAGCTCTCATGAAGTCTCCAATGTGCCACATGCTCTAAAGGGATGTGGCTATTCATTCTTTCAAACAGGCTCGGCCTAACTGAAAGATAAGAAAACAGCACTGGGAAAAAACCAAAACAATCAAGGGACTGAGGCAGAAAACTCTTAACAATGTGGTAAATGCTGGGCACTGCAAAAGCAGGAAGGGCACCAGAACACCACAGTCCTGCAAATCACTGAGACCCGTGAAAGGATGGACAGGAGTTGGGGAGCCTCAGCCCCTCTCAGGAACACTCCTAAATTGAATAAATATTTCTGTTTGTTTAAAGGAACCGATACAGACCACAGTACTGGATTTGCACTCGTGCCTTTTACTCATACAGTTGCAGTGATGGAAAATAATTGGCTTGCCACCAATAATGATACAGGCTGAGGGATGAAAGGATGCAACCTACAAATCCCACCACAGAAGCCACAACTTTTGTGAAGATCACATCCTTCTACAACTCTCAAGAGGCTGGTTTGTAAATATAGAGGGATATTGATAAATCTAGTGCATTTCTGAGTTCACTTTATCCTGAAATATGTACAGATTGTTTGTCGCTGCTATAGCAATGATGTTCTCGGTTGGGTGCCATGCTGTGTGCAAGATCTTCTTAGTAAAGTCCAAACTGTCAACACTGATGTCATCTTTCCTCCGTTTGCCTCCAACGCAGACTCTGCGGGGTTTCAGAATGGCTCGTGGCTTACTGCTCTCCCGGGAAGCCTCCAGGGTAACATCCCGCTTGGTGTTGCGGTCAAACATTCGGAAAAAGTTGTTATATGCACCTGTCATTATCACACTGCAGACAGACAGAGAGAGAGCCACAACAAAGGCAGTTAAACAGCAGCTTGTGCAAAACCTACCAACATGACTGGATCAGGACAGACGAGTTTACCATAGGGTTAGCTGTCTTCTGGGTTCAGATGGGAAAGAGTAAGGAAAAAAACCTAGGAAAACCCCAGTACTCCCCAAAATGAATAGTTTTCTTCTACCAATGCATTCCCCTTTCATATTATTTAATGAAAATTACAGTTACCTCAAATTATGTCTGCTCCCTGACATCTTGAGAATTGCATTGCAAGATAATAAAAGCAGCATGTTTTAATAAGTTATTTTTAATTACCCTCCAGCTTTTTATGAGTGCTTAAGGATCATACATTTCAGGCTTTTTCCATTTCTCTGGAACTTTAATGACAGCCGAGTTTTACCATGATTTCAGAAACAGTCTAAAAAATTCCCACATATTTCAAATCTTTCGATACAACAGTAAGGTTTAGTACATAATTATATATTTTAATGAGTATTTTGAAGAAGGGTGTTTTGAAATGTTCTGAAAAATCACATTGAATTTGCACATGTAAATTCTTTCCAGACAAAACCCTTTTCCTTGCTGAAGCCACAGATCTTGCAAGTCCAGACATCATTAAAATTTGTATCTTCTTAGAAATAAATACACTGGTGTCAGGATCCTGGCATCTCTGATATGAAGTTTGAATGAAACATCAAGTCAGGATATATTTCTGAGTCTGGGAGAAAGGGACAGAAAACATACCTCGATCTGTATAAAAATTACCTCATTAATCAGCTTGCAGTTTGAAATAATGGATTGCAGTTGCTTCATTCTCCTAGTCCCGAGGGGAGGATATTTTGTCACTAACTTTAATGAATTCAGGATTTCATCCATGGCCCTCAGGTTATTGGATTAGCATAATCATGAGTTTCAGAGCCTTGTTTGAAAGCTCATCCCCTGTGAACTTTTTCTGTATATGAAATCGGGGCTGTTCTCGATTCTCCTATCTAAGCCCCAAACAGGGTGGTTTTGTTCTAAAATTCCATTCTGTAAGAGGGAATCCACTCCAAATGGTCAGGTCTCCACAGGAAAAGCTGCACAGTTTTAAGACTCAGGCAATCAGGAACTATTTGCCTTTCTAATAGAGACCAAAAGAACATATTTGACGTGCATGGCATTAACAAACAAACCTCCATCTCACATGACAGCTGCTTTCACACTTTGCTGTTGAGGGGGGATCTGTGATGAGCAGCAGACTGGCCAGGGAAACAAGGAGCATATGGGAGAATATGGGAGAACTCACAGGCACGAGCCATGCTCTCCACCACACAGACACTCACTGGCTGATTAGATTAGATGCTCCTGGATTCAGGAGTGACTTAGTGTGTGCACAGCCTCCAGCCAGAGCTGCCTTGATCTTATTTGGGACCATTAGGAGCGACTGTAATACAAATGAATGGTATACTGGAAAAGCAGAAATGTGAGCTGTGCCCCTCATTGCTGTGATACAGCTGGGGACTGGGGGCAGAGCAGGCTCCAGAGATGCTGCAGGGTACCCAGAGTGGGTGAGCTGGGTTTGTACACTGGGAATCACCCAGCTCCACCCTGCCTCCATGCCTGCTGATATTGCAATCTGATGGCAGCTAATCCCACACTGAGCTCTGTGCAGCTCCTGCAGTGCCAAAGGGAACTGCTGCAAACCAGACAGCAGAGTGTAGAGAACCAGGACACAGTGCCCTTGGTGAGACCCAGCACACACTGCTCTTGGTAAGAGCTCACCCAAAGCCCCCACTCATGGAGAGGGGCAGCTCCCTGGGGGTCTGCAGGCAGCTCGCAGCTGGGGGATGCACAGGGAGGGCACACACAGCCCCATCCAGCCCTGGCAGTGAGCTCCTTGCTGCTCTACAGCAGCAGGACCAGCCCCTTGCAAAGAGGTTTCCCTTTCCTTCTGCACCTACAAAAGGCCTGGCACAATCCTGCCTAGCAAGGCACAAGTTAACAACCTCACAAGCTAAAAAACAGGAGTCAGTGTGACAGCTTGATAAAACGTATCCCAGAATCTGCAGAAAGCCTATTGATCAAGATTAGTGCCCATTTCAGAAATTGAATCAACAGCAGTAAATCAAATGTTTCATTCCTTCCAAATCACCAAGTCTTGTCATTACAGCTCCTGCTGTAATGGTTATTCGCAACATGAAAAACTCGAGGTTATTTCATATCTCAACACTAACATACACAATTTGTGATGCAAACAGTCCATCTGTATATTTTCCCCCAGGCAAAATTTTGAAACGGGTTCATAACACTGATGCACCCTGTGCCATGGGCTGCAGAGCTGTGGCTCCCAGGGCAGAGAGGAGCATCCCTCCTGATGGCAGTGGGAACTATCAGAGAAGCAGTTTTCATGCTGGCAGAGTACCAGTGCACCAAATGCAGAGAGGTGTTAGTTAAGGGTCTTATTTTAGAAGGTTTTGCTTGCAGTAAAACTGCCTTTATAGTCCATTTGCTTCTTAATTTCTTGAACTCTCGCATATTTTAAAAAGTCTGCTTTCTTCAGTTGGATTTACTGCAGTTATTTTTTTAACATATGTAGATGACTACTTTTCATGCTGGCCCTATTTTTCGGCAGTTTAATGGCTCAGTGAAAAACAGCATTATGTAAATGAGAAAGTGCCCATTCTTCTTCAAGGTCACAAACACAGATGGATTACAACTTTACCTGCTGCTTAAAGTAATAAAAGAGAGTGAAAACTAGATGTAAACCTGCAATATTTTCCTGTTCAGGAAAATACAATGTACAATGATGGAGTCTATGCAATAAGGATTTTTTTTTTTTAATAGTAGAATATAAATTGTAGCTCAATGTAGGAAGAGTCTGTTCTGTATTCCCAGACGCTGCTCTGCACAGCAGTGTTATGACAAGGGCTTGCACAAAACCCTTGCAGGAGAGGCTGGTTCAAGAAACCAAAGCCCCTCATTCAAAACAGCCTGCACTACTTCACAGGTGTGTAAGGCAGCAGCCCAGAAAAGCTCTGTCTAACCACCTTTAATTGTCCTTAGAAGGCAGGTTTACAAGCTGTGCTACACAAGGTCAGAGGTACCACCCTCTCTGCCATGCAGAGGCATTTAGGACACAGAACACACTCCAGTGCACCCTGAGGAGCAGAGAACTGATAGCTCAGGTTGGAGCAAAGCTACAGCCTGACTGCACCTGCTCCAGACACCACAGCTACAGACAGCATGATTACAAAAAAACCCCAAATAAAACAACACCACGCCCCATCTCCTCTCAAACAAACCTGCCAAACCAAACAGAACAAAAAACAGGGAAAAACCCCAATGGTTGCAGCATGACCACCACCACCTACATTTCACCCCCTGCAGCCCAGACAGTGCTGTATTTTCTAAAAATAAATTTTAAATATGTAAAATCGTCAGAAATAAAGAATTTGAGAGAAAAAAGTTCTTCCTGTTTGCATTGGTAACAGCAATACTCAAAAGGAGCAGATGTTTACCTATGGATAATGATTTTATTAAATATGACATCAGCATTATACCACTGATGTTTTATTTAGGACCAGCGTTTTAGGGCCTACAGAAGCAACCTCTCAACTACTGATGGCTTGGGCATCTTTAATTATCTTAATACTTTTAAGCATCTGAGTCTCGATGTTTTGGTTTTGGTAGTGACTTTGTTAAATGAAATACTTCAGTATGAAATTTTCCCCACTAAAAAGTTCTGCTTCTCTTGGGTGGTCAACAAATTACTTCACCAACTTCAAAGGCATCTGAATAGGATTTTTACCATTTTACTAACCTGCAATGAGATATTCCACAATATTTTTTAGGCAATGAGATTTCATCAAACATGCCAGTCACTAAGAATGGGCATATCTGTGTATTTCTCCAATTTGTTATTCCCGTATCTCAAGCCCATCTCTTAAATGTTATCCATGTTGCAGCCATCCTTACACACAACAGTCTTCATCAAAATCACTCCATTCAGCTGCATTCCTGGATGTCAGGGATTGCCCTCAAGATCTGGGGTATCAGCTGGAATTAAGGCTTGCTTAAAAACCAAACTATTACTTGCTCCACATTGCTTTGTGTTGTTTTTCTTGTTTAGGGTTTTGTTTGTTTTTGTGGGTTTTTTTAACTTTGATAATTTTTGGGCTAACTCTGGCCCAAATTAGTCTTCCCAGATGCAAATAAGTATTTATTCACCTGCAGATTTCTACTGCCTGGAGAAATTCAGATAATTTCATCGTTTCTCCTCTTTCACTGTTGCTCACAAGACCATGGAAGCCACGGGCTGGTGTGACAGGACTAAGAGCAGGGCTGGGCAGGGCTTCAAGGACCTGCACACACCCTGCTTAAGGCTGATAGAAAAACGAAACCAGCCCAGCTGCCCTGCCCTTCAGTGCAGATGTGGCAGCAGAACATCATTCCCTGGGGCAAGAGGCAGGGCTTGGACTATTCCAGGTGTGAGGGGAGGAGACTCAGAGAGCAGCTTCCTTTAGAACCTGCCTCCACACCTGCAAATCTCAGCAAAGACATCCCTCAGGCACCCAGCATGAAAAGGGACTTTTCTTTGACCTGAAACTGTTTCCCAATTATATTTTGAGCCCCCAGATTTTCAGTATTTCACTGCCATGTGAACTAGTGCAGAAGAGAACATCTGCAGCCTCCTAGGATTAACGGGTAAGATCCACCAGATCTGGCTTCATGACAAGCTGGCCCAATGAAAGAAAGGGTTGATTCCAGAAAAACGCTCAAGCAACATTTTTCATAGGAATATAAAGGGAGATTTATTATAGCAAAGGGAAAGGAGGAAGCATTGTTGCAAGCAATGAGAAACTGCTGAAATACTGGGAAATTTTCCTGTATGCTGTACTGTGTAAAATCACTGACTCCCCATCTCAAAGAAGGAATTTATTTAAACCTGTAGGTTTGTGGGACCCTGTACAGCTGGCTGGCACAAGACTGGGAATAAGAACAAGGGATCCCCAAGGCCTTCCAAGCTAATATTTAACATGCCAAGCTTTGAGAACAAAATGATGTCTTCTAGCTCTCCAGCATGGAGTGTGCTGCCAGACAGGAATAGACTCTTAACATCTCATCCAATGGGATCTGCCAATTCCTCCTGATTAGAGTGAAGGCTGATGGATATTCAGGGGGATGAATGACAGTTCAGGAGGAAAGGACTGACTGAACAGTTGTATGTGACTTCACTCATCTGCTTGCAGCATATCGCTTATCATGATGGTATTTAGAAGTCTCCCTGGCAGGGGTCCCATACACCCATTCATTTGAAATCTTAAAAAAAAAATAATTAACTAAGGTAATTCACTTGCTATCATGTAGAATTAGGTCTTGTTTGCGGTTTTTTTCCTGGCTTCTTTACCTCACAAAAAGCTACAAAAGAGCTTATTTTTTAAGGTAAAACTGAAAGCTGCTGACAGTGGGAAGCAAAAGGTGTCCTCCAGGTCATGATTAAAAGACTTGACTTTAGATGTGAACGGAAGAGCTAAATTAAATTGCTATGTAAGTAGAGCTCCCCTATTCTACACAGTCATGTAATGATGTATATACAATAAAGATAGCATGATTTTTGTGTAATATACTCAACTACAGATAATACATGCTCATCTGGATGAATTAATGTAAGACCCCTGCTCGGCTCCCTCCCCTGACCACTGTTGCCAAAGTACACAGTGATTAATGTGCCCTTCAGCAAATGAGATGGGCTCTGCCTGATTGTATTAGTTCCTGTTCATTGGAGTAACTGAGCATCAATCACGTTCTAATCAGAGCTCATGTATGCTGATTATTTTTGTGAACAGCCTCACCATCAGGTCCTATCATAGCCTAGATTAACTTTTTAGTAATAACAAAACTTAATAAAAAGTATTTTCACCTAAATAATAAACACACTTTAATTTTTAACTGAACAATCCTGTCACTATAAATTGTCATTATGGCTTTGAAGCCTGCAAAAGATAAAAACAATATATTTAGAACTGCAGTTATTACTGTTATGCAGACAGATTAATAATCTAAGTACTGCAGCATCTCTTTGGAGTACAATTGTCAATATGCAACTTTTACCTTTAGTAATAATCCTTTTTTAAAAACTGCATACTGTTCAAATGAGCTGTTTTTAAGAGCTACCAGTACCTACATATTATTTAAATAATGATCCTCCAACAAAAAAATATTCTGGTAATGTATAGCAATACTTGTCATATTCATAAAGCAAGGAGCTCAGAGGAGTGAACAAAATATGAGCACTAGTTCTGATATGCTTGACTCCTAAAAAGAAATAACTAAATAAAATAGAGCCCTTTTCTTTTGTCAAATGTTTCCAGCTCCTCTACTCGAGAGTTTCTTACAACTAAGAGCAGCACATTGTGTTTAGTGACAGGTTTGGTAATTGTGCATGACTAACAACGCCTCAGTGTCTGGGCAGTACAATAAATGAAGCCCTCACAATCTAATGTTCCCACTTAATAATTACTCCCTGCATTGATCTTTCTGATCTGTCAAGTGGGAATGAAAATATTACACTCACTTTAAACCCTGATATTGAACAAGAATTCCATTACTACCAGGCAACCATCCAGAGTGGTCTTACCATGCTAATGAGACAGCAGCACTTCATCTGGCCAGAGGAGACAGACACTAGGCCTTGGAGTACGTGGTTGCCCATCCTGTAAAATGCACTAGGAATTCCCATCAAAAATACCTGAAAAGTCCTGGATCTTTTTGAAAGTTTCCCAATATCTACATGATTTGAATGCACTGTTGTTCTGTGTCAGACTTAGACAAAAATCAGCATTGTCTGTTTTCCAATAAATGCTTTGAATTTTGTATTTCTAGCAGGGCCAAACTCAAGCTGTAACCACACTGAGAAAACTCTGCTAAAACAACCATTCATGCATTGGTTTGGGAGTTTCAGAGAAAAGCCCCAAAACCTGGATCTTCCACTAAACTTCCTGTGAGTCATTCCCAATCTTTGAGTATACCAAAGCCACAACAGCTGGTGCCCAAGCTGCAATGACAGCAATCTGAGAAGTATTTTGCTCAGTGTAGTCCATCTATGTAATTTTAAATGGCCAGCAGTTGGTATCACAGGGGGTACTCAATGCTGAGTTAATTCTTGTCAAAAAACATATCACTCTGCATGCAGGCAATAGAGATAATGGAATATATATGTATATTCATTTGCATAATGAATGATACAAGGTAAAAGTTTCATTTCTTTAGCAAAGACAGAATCTTTCCATTGGGCAGACAGAAGAATTGAGCAAAGGAAAGTTGTCCAAAGAGAAGGTGCCCCTTATCCAGTGTACAGAATAATCCTTGATCTGCATTTGTGGAACACAGGACTGGAAGAGACTTTGTTCTGCACTTCCAAGTTCAGACTAGTAATTTTAACCAATTTTAACAGGTAAAACTACCTGTTGGCTCTCAACACCTGCTTGCTGTTGTGCCATTATCACTCACATTTATCTTAGCTAGATTCTCTTCCTCCCTATGTATATCTCCTTGGTATACTTACTACAAGCAAGTAAAATCTGGGCTTCTCTTTTGCTAAGCTGATGAAAACCAAAGTCCTGGCCCCTCTCTTCTTTAGAGCAGCTGTCCATCTGCTTGATTAGTTCATCCACCTTGGAGACGAGGGACAGGAAATGTGTAAATGCAGTTCAAAGGTCTTTGAATAAGAGCCCAACATAATGTCACCACTACTCCTTTCTCTGCTGGATAGCCCAGTCTTGCCCATTCAGGGATCATACTTGTCTTTCACAGATGTCTCAGACTGCCTGTTTCACAGTTCTTGCCCACTCCAGGGTGGATAGGCTTGCTTCAATACAATGAGGCAGGCTGCTTTCCAAATGAGAGGCTGAGCTGAAGGAGCAGTTCTAGGCTCAGTGCCAAACTTCTGCCTCTTGGCTCCTAACTCTGCTGAACCAGGAGTCACTGTGTGTCATTCAATATTGGCTCCTGTGCTCTCTTTCACATGCATTTTGTGGACTACTAATCCCTTCCAAAGTCACCTAGCATATGAATGTCCCTGGGAGTTGCTTCCAACTGATAAGATGAAGGCTTGTGCTCTTTTTTTAACTAAAATCCTCACCTTGCATTATACTCTTGGATTTCATCCATTTTTATTAACCCTGTGCTCTTGGCTGCTCAGCTATTCCTGTACCATATTCCTACTCCACAAAGTACTGCCACTTTGCCAGCATTAAGGCATTGGCCCACTCCATCCTTGCTCACACTCTGACTTGTGCCAGTATTTCTCATTAAAATGTTCAACAAGATATTATGTCTAAGACAAAAACAAGAACCTCTCCATCTCCCCATCTTTCTCATAGGGAAAGGGACTGCTCTGATGGAGGGAGGTATCAGAAGTGTCATTTGGCAGCAGTTTGTAGAGAATCAGTGGGTGCCTGTGATGGTCCTTCCTCACACCCATTTCCAGTAAGTGACCTGAATTTCTGAGGCAGCTCGTGTGCAAATACAGGATCATGTAAGTTTCCTTAGTGTGTTGGTGGGATTGTGTAAGCTGGCATCATTCTTTTTATCTTTTGCTGCCTATTTATGATTTAGATGAAAATGGAGATATTTTGAAGGGGTTTTTCCCCTAAGGCACAAGCCAAGGTTATTAAGGCTTACATCATGTCTGAGGCAGTCAGAGACACAACTGCACAAACATCCAAACATCTTCTATCAACCAAGCACTGGCCTGTGATTCCACACATTGATGTGGAAAATAACCACGTGTAAGTACTTTAGGTTTGCTCCCCATCATATGGGAGGTCTTTGGCTAAATGAGGACAGTGATGGAGAGAAGGATGGATTGATTACCTGTCTGACCCATTCCATGCACATTCAAACTTGTCAAAGATGCAGTCATTTTCATAGAGGGAACATAACTTGCTTCTAAGGTAATCATGGACCTGTTTTAAAGAAAATAATTGTTATTCTTGAAATCAAAGAAAATATAAAACTACAAAACCAGCCCTTCATTTTCTGTGTTATCTCCCATGTTCACTTTCAAAATATGCTGCATAGATTGGTAGCTCTGCAGAAGATACTGTGTTTAAACCCCAAAGAAGCTAACTGTACTTTTCCACAGCCCAATTAACCAGGTGCTACAGAATTACTGTTGCAGGAAGCCACAAAACATGCTTCCCTCAGCAGGCTGCTGACCACTCTCTTCAACATATTTGTTTCCTGCTTGGGTGATTTTCTCAGTGCTAGCCTAATTCTCAGAGACATTTCACCAGCTGATGCCTTGGATGGGCTAATTAACGTGCAAGAAAGCTAATTTAAATAGTAACAAAAATGCCATATTCCAAGATAAGTGGACTCTCACTTATGGCAGAAAGAACTTGGCTCTGTTAAAAGAACCTTTATGGTATTACATTTGTTTTTGTATGGTATTTAGAAGCCAAATACAGCACAAGGTTGTAGTTGCACAGGCTGAAAATAAGAACACTAATTTAGCCCAAGAATTTCTCTAATTTGGCTGAGACTTAAAAACAGCATTGCAAATTCTCACTTACTAACTAGAAAAGTGGGACTACCCAGCAGAGATCTCTCCTCTAGGCCACACATCTCTGCTGACCAAGGCTTATCATAAAGAGATCTCATGCAAACTGTTTCAGTCTTTTGCTTAATTTGATTAGTTTTTCTTCTGGATAATTTGGTTTATTCCATAAGGAAATAAAAAGGTAGAAAACCCCTGCCTACATAAATTTACTAGTGTACTTCCACTCCTGATATTTTCTTCTAGCTATTGTAGAAACTGTAAAACAAAGGTGTGTAGGTGACCTCCTGGAGAAATACACCAATCCAATGGCCCAGGGTATAATTTAGCTCTGCCATCCTGAAGTTACAGGTTCTTGCAAGTCCAGTGAAATTATTCCCGCTCATGGATGCTCAGCATCCTCCTCTGGCCTCAGGGCACAAACATTTCTTCTAGTAAAATAACTTCTATCAAGACCAGATGAGGGCCAAAGACCTTTCATTTAGATTTTCTTTAAATGGACCCATCTTTGATAGTCAAATTGTACAGTATCCAAAGAATATTTGTTATGTAAGATCATTAAGAATTATAAATTTTAGTTATTGATCAATTTTCATTACTAAATGAACACTGAAGTGTTCATTAACACATAATGTCTTATACAGCAATTACTTGGCAAATGGCAGATAGAACATTCCACAATTAAATGCATTTACCATCACAGTGAGCAACAGGTCAGAACACTAATTTTTTTTACTATTGATGCAGTTTCCTACACTCTGTAATTAAACCCTTTCCATTTCTCTTTAATTAAAACCTTTTTTATGCTAGCAGTGTAATTTGTTACAGAACTGGAATTCTTCCCTTTGTCATGTTTGTGAGCTCCCAACACTTGGAAGAAATAGAAAGGCTGGGTAAGGCAGAAGGAAGTAGATCACATTTGCCTCCCTGACTGTCATTTCTAGGTCTTTCTCTTGTTACCATTTCCAGCAGCCATCTGTCATGACCACTGTCATGTACACACCCTTTGCAAAGTGTGTCCAAATCCACAGCTTGGAGCTGTGCCTTTCTATCAGCTTTGTCAAAAGGGATTTTGCAATTCCTCTCTCAGATGTCTTACCTTGTTAAGACTGTCAGACTCACCCTACAGTCTTGGACAACCACCTTGTTCTTTATGTAGACTTTTTGATTATCACATTTGAGCATATTTAGACCCTCAGAGAGACTCTGAAAAACTAACTGGAACAAACACTTAATTTTCACTGTTTGCATATTCACTTGCCTCTACCAACGGAGGGTAAAATCAGATTTGCCTTGTCTGTTACATCTTGCTCTTACCACATATAAATAGTACTTGAAAGCAAACCAAATTCATTCCTCACTAATTACCAAGGACTTTTTCTCCACTGCAACGTTTTAGGTCTGACCCTCATGAAATTATCTAGCAATTCTGTGCTCCAGACTAACACAGCAACACAACTACAAGGGACCTATTTTATTGTGACTGAATAGACACAGCCAGGAATTGCACTGGAAAGTGACACATTGGTCCAAATCCCTATGCTGCAGACCCTCCCTAAAGTGGATCAAGCTATTACCAGCAATAAATGTGCTCACCTCGCTGTTCCTAAGGATTCTGCAGGGTAATTCCCCCCAGAAGAGAAACCTGTTAGGCAGGGCTGCCTTGTAATATTCAAGCACTGACCATTGCACTGCACTGCTCTTTTAGTGCTGTCCAGTGACCATACTCTGCCCTTTTTTGTGTGAAACAAACAGGAGAAAACCATGTTGAAATACTGTCAGCAGATAATGTGTTCAGCAGGGCTGCAACAGCAGCTCTCTGCAATAGCATCCTTCGAGCCACAGTATTGATATGAAAAATAACCTGTATAAGGAATTCACTTTTGTTTGTCAGGTTTTTAATATTAAAATTGTAAGCTGATAATGAAGCAGTAGAGTTATGGACTCTGCTCTTTATTACAACTCTGTGTGAAATCTCCTTTTGTGACCCTCACTATTGCAGCTAGGCAACATCTAAGTGGCTACCACGCAGTGGATGAAATGAGAAATTCACTCTTTTAATGAACACCTTTTAATCTATTAATAATATATTGTCATCATAATTATGTGGATACATAACTGAAAATGTTAGGTTTATTTGTTGCCTTCCTGTAATCTACCCCAAAAAAACCCCTTTGAGAAATTGCAAAATTTATATATGAGATTCAGGTTTGTGAGAGAGAGATATCTCTGAGACAAGTCATTTAAGACAGCAATTTAAACCACTTTTTCTTAGGATGGAATTCTCTAGTCTCTGCAGCTTAAAACCATGAAAGGTTCTCAGAGCAGCTGGATCACGTGAACCCCATGGAATCCTGTGCTATTGACTTCCCAAGGCCCCTGGTTCAAGATTCTCCTTTAGTCTATTGCAATGCCCAGCAACACATCTATATATTCTTTAAAAAGCGTTGGGTAAATATTTGAAAATTAAAGGCAATCCAAAGATTTAAGAACACTGTTATATTTTGCTATATATTTTTTTAATATTATATAAGGGGTTTTGTTTGTTGTGGGTCTTGTTTGTTTTTTTTTTCTATAAACTGCAATTATCAGTACTCATTTTTCCCCATTTCAGCATGAAAAAAATATAACTTTTTAATTGGCCCTACTGTTGGGTGCCAGACTGTTTTCAAAGTGACCAGCTTGTTTCACAGCTGCCTACATGAGGAAATAAAAGCAGGTGTCAAAATCAAGACAAACAAGTTGGCTTGACCAGCTCTTCCTCCCCAGGGACTAGGCAGCCTACTAAATTAGCATAGGTATAAAGTAATATATTACCTAAGTTCCCAAAAACCGAGATTCTATTCTGTTATATAAAATATAGTCTCGCCCTTACCCTCCCACTCCGTTTTCACAGCATATCAACATTTCTAACACATTCAGCATTTAAAGCACTGCCATTTTAAAGAGCAAACCCAATTCTATAGTCTTAAAGGTAAACAGGCTTAGATTTTCCAATATTAACACATTGAGCAGTGAACACTATCCACCAAAATGTAATGGATGCATTGAAAAGCACTGGGGCCCACTCTGCCTACTAAATGCTAGCTAAAAATACTGGAATTTTTTTTTTGTTTTGACAAGAAGTGCTACCAAATTCTCATTGTGTTTTTTTAAAAACAATCTTAATTATAGTTACTGTAAGCTACTGTATCCCACCTGCCCTTATTTAGACACAGAAAACAAGTGACTGATCCAGCACTGTCACAAGATTGTCTCTCAGTAAGCAGCACAAGCCAGATGAATGGCATTTTTCCTACTTTGCATATACTTTTTTAGGTAGCTTAACAGCTTTTTTCTTACTGCACTTTCATAGCAAGCAGTTTCTGTGTCATAGACATATTTTCCTTCTTCAAGCCAGAGTAAAAAAAAGTAAGCTCAGCCCTCCATTGCCAAACATAACAGATGTCAGAGTACAAACTTAGCACTGGCTGGAGCCACTGGCATTTTGTCTGGATAATATCTCAATGAATTCAGGCAACCAGATGTGTCTGTCTGGCATTTGTGAGCTGCTGTGTCAGGGGTGCTGCCAGGGCTTAACACGGAGCACTTCTAGAACGAGGCACAAGGGAGAAACACACAGATCCAGTTGGAAAAAGTAGTTCTGAAATGACAAAGGTGTAAACTTTCAGCAGTCCCACCAGGAGCAGAGTGCTAAGCAACACACAAAATCTTAGCCTCTTTTAAAAGTGGTTTCTTTTAAATGTTAGTAATGAAATACATCATTTGAAAGCAGATGCCAAAGTGAAGATATGATTTCTCTTAGAATAATCATTTCTTTCAAGAGCCCAATCCACAGGGAGTGCTACCTTGACTTCCCCAGGCTTTACACTTCCTTACTAATGCTGCAATTGCCCTTTTCCTGCTATAAGGATGCCACTGTGAGGATTTTAACCACCTTGATTAATTCTCTAAGCTTGCTGCTTCTCAGATAAGGTTATGAGAAGTTTACAGAAGCATCCAGTTTTTGAACACTGAGATCCTTTTATAATCTTGCATTTTAAGACATAGGAGATTCCTACCTGGTACGTTTCTACAGGCTTTGTTTCCATGTTCAGATCCCAAACCTTGACAGTGAGGTAATCTCTTGTAAGCATGTATCTACCACTGTGACTGAATTTGACATCTGACACTGAAGAGATAATTTCCGAAAAAAATGATCTGTTACTGGGGTCTTCTGGTTCTTCATAAACTGTTCAAAGAAAATGAAGCAAGAGACAGAAATCAGAATTGTATAAAAAAATGCTCTGTTGTACAATCTGAAGAGGGCATTTCTTCTGAAACATGTAATTCAATCTACCAAGGAACATGATATAGAATTAACTGTATATCCGGCATTTAATTGATTATTTAAACTTCATATAAAAATACAAACTGTAAACTTTAAACATCACAATAATTAATATTATAGCTATGGACTCAAAGCATGACTTCGTGAAATTATGCAAATACACTGGTTAGCTGATTACAGATACCTATAGCAAGGCATTTCACACCTTCATCCTTTCTGGGTCTGCATACTCCGTTTCCCAACATAACCAAAATCCAGGTGTCCCTGTCACATGAGAGGGATGTGTGTGCAAGTGGTGTCACAACAGTCCTGGCATCCCTGGGAGAGGTTGTTACTCAAAGTCTGCTCTGCTTGCCAGAACCAGCTGGCCTGGCTGCAGGCTACTCATTGGTCATGTCTGAAGGCATCCAAGATTAAGGATGAGAATTTAAAAAAGCAACTGCAAATTGCAATTACCTCTTCCTGAGAGGTGAGCAGAGGTTTACCGTGTGGATGCATGACCTACATAGGTGGTGTGCAATTGCTGACAGTTCTGGAAAGCACTGAACTCTCTGAATGTGATGGTCAGCAGCTCTGTGCAATCTGACAAGGCAGCAGGTCATGAAATATTGCTCACATGATGTTCAGATGTGAAAACTCAGCTCTTGTAGCTATGAGATTGGTCATCCCTGTTCAGCTGTACATAAGAACAACATTGGATGACTCTATCCCTACCTCAGGGGTGCCTAGAGCAATTCTGCTGTCTTTCTGCAGATATCTGTGGCCCTGTGATCCAACTTACGTCTGTGGTGAACTTCAGTAGAAAGTTGGGCTTTCCGGGTCTTTTAACTCTTGCAAATTCATAGGGTTTTGGGACCCTAGAATGTCCTCTGAAAATTGGCAATTTAGTGAATTTGATTTTCAAGTTTTAAACATAGGTGAAGAAAAGCCATATGATGAAACATGAAAGCATGCTGAAAGTAGAAAAACTTCTTAGTGTCAGTCAAAATGAAGTTTTTCGTATAGTCCACTGGAACATTTCTCTCTCAATTATTTTATCCACGACTATGATTCAGACTGTTGGAAGCAACAAGGTTAGCTTCCATTAGGTGAAATAATGTTCTTCTGAAAGTTAAGGGTGAGTATGTGGGTGAAGTATGTGGGGTAATGCAAAAAATTACGGGCAATTTTCTTTGGGGGTGGGCAGTGGAAGGCAGCCAGGCGTGCACATGAGAATAAGCTCTATATTTAAACATGCACCACACATCTGAATGGTAATGAACTACTTCAAAAGAGCAAAAAACTTTTCAGATAGACTGTAAATGAACAACTTTAAATAGCTCTTTAAAATTTTGCCTAGACATTGTGCAAAGCAGGTATTTTGTAATTATCCTGTCAGATTTTCAAGAGAAGTCTGATGAGCACAAAGCAATTATCATTTCTCATACCTCTTTCCTTTAATCTGTCCAAACTATAGACTTGGCTGGCAGGAATTTCATCCTCCTAATTATGATGTGAAGCATCTATTAAAACCAGGAAAGAAAAAACCAAAACCCACTCTAACTGAACTACACCTTCATTTATAGCTTAGATATATTTTCTTGGCTCTTTGGGGCTCATCCAACTCCCAGTGATTAGAAGAGGAGTGATATTTGTACCTGAATATTCTGCATTTTGTTAATTAATGAGATTAAACCTTTTCATTCTTTATCTGCCCCATTTATTGCTTTTCTGTGCTTACTGTATTAAGCATTAGAAAGACTTAGATTAATTAACTGTGGAACTAACAGAGGCGTGAAAGTCTTGTATCATTACAGAAAGAAAGATAGCAGTAGAAATTTTAGTAGCAGCAAGTCTTTGGAGATAGTTCCTCTAGTCAGCATAACCAACACAGGAAAATTGTTACAGGAAATTAAGGAGCAGCTCCCAGTGAAAAGATGAGAAAGCTTAGCAAGTACCAGCATCTCCTGAGCAACCAGCACAGGGCACCAACCTCAGGAAATGAAGGTGAGAGAGTGTTCTAAGGACTTGGCTATCTCTGTTTCAGCATCAACATTGGGTTATGCACATACTGCAAAAAAAGCACAATATCCCTTCAGTTTGCCTAACACAAGTGGGGTAATTGGAGACAGAACAGCAGTGAAGTGATAGCCTTGTGACTTGGACTTCAGGCAAGCAATTCAAATTCAGCTCTGACCTCTCCAAGTTGATAGGGGGAAAAAAATGGGTCTAGCCCATGGTTTCCAAATGATGTTTTCTGTTTATTACTGTTAAGACTTATCTTTGGAGGCTGCTCTTGCACCCAGGAGCAATCAGTACCTGAAACACGAGATTTCAAATCTGGCTTACTTATCTGTATCTAAATCTTGTTAGATCTGGACTTTACTGACATTTGATTACAGATCCTATTGTATTCTTTAATTAATTTCATCATTAATTTCTTAATAAAAATCACCTGCCATAAAAAAGGGTATTTAACTTTCATTACTATTGTTCCTGATAATGGTCACAGTACTAATTACACAAAAGACAGAAAGTTACCTGTCCAGCTACCTAATGAACTTAGGAATCACAAATGATGTGATGTACTGAGTTCTCACGTGACACTTGCTCAGACTTAAATGTGACCTTGATGACAGGACTCTGGCATAGAGAAATATCATGAGATTACAGAGGAAAGCAGAGCATATCTCTGAGTACAGCCAGTGTTTGAAGAGGAGCCTGCCAGGAAGAGTCTGTTCCTGCCCCTTATGCCACCATCACATACATGGGTAAACTGGGAGGTCTGCTCAGGGAAATAAAAAATAAAAATGCTCAATTCCTTTCTGCACAGCTCACAAGTTAAAAACCACAGTAGCTTCTCAGAGAAGTCCAGACTTTGCAGAGAAGGATGGGTTCATTGAAGGATACTTGCCAGAGAGCTGTTTTCCTGAATCCTGAAGAAAATCTGTAGCATAAAAATATGCTGCTTCTTTCTTAAAAGGAAGTACCATCTGCTGAAAAACAAACTCTTATCCCTCATAAAAAATATCCTTGTTTCCCTGTGAATTTCTCTGATCAAATGCAGAATGGAGACTTTCCTTTTCCAGTGGATAGGAAAGGCATCTCTAATGTGTGTGTTTATCATGCAGAAATATATGCAGATATCTAAAGTTAAAAAAATAAAACAGCCAGAAGCAGCAAGAATAAGTGGAAAGGCCCATCTCACAGCTTCCCTCCCAGACACTGGCAAAAAGAACGCAGAGAGCTTGGGCAGCAGCCAAAAGAAGTGTGGTGCACTAACTAACACCTTGTGGCTCTCATCTGCACTCTGGGGGTCACAGGTGCTGCCACCTCAACTTCCCATTAATATGGGCCTGATTCCACACCAGAAATTGGTGTTTATTGGAAAAGATACATCCAATAAAGAAAAACAAAATCTAACCCAAAGTAATTTTCAAGTTCAATTCTGAACGAGTAGCTGGGCAGAGTTTTAATTGTTCCAGGGTGCAAATTCTGGGATAAGTGAACTTTTAGAAATATTAAAAATAATGCTAAAATTGTCTTATATGGTGGCTGCAGTGTCACAATCTGATATAGTATACAAAATCCTGTATTACTCCTGAAATCATCACAAGAAAGAAAAGAAGATGAACAGAAATCTGCTCCATAGATTTTGTAAGAAATTCCATCAGTCGCAGGATAAAATTATAAACAGCTTTAAAGACTCATTCCCTCTAGCAGAAAAAAAAGCATTGTTTTCTTTCTACTTACTAACAAATAATAACTTATTAAAGCTTTTTTTTTTAAGAGGATATTGTTTATCATTTGTATCCTGTCCTGGAAATCCTGTCTGATTTTATAGCATTTTCTGTTACTTAGACTTAAATCATTGGAAATCGTGCACCATGAAATAAATCTCTCCCTCCCTCTGAAGACAGCTAATGGATGTAGAAAATCATCCAGCTCTGTTCAAGGGTCACAGCTACAAAGGGATGAAAACAGCTTTGGCAATAGTGGGAACAGAGGCAGTGTGGTTACTGAGAGGGAGAGGACTGTGGAGACCAGGGCCAACAAAGTTGGTGGAACATGACAGGAAAAAAAAATTTTTCATTTTTATTATATAAGCAAGTAAATATTCTGCAGCTAGACTGGACTAAGAACTTATTACAGATAAACCTCTGGGTTACACTGGTACACAAACAATAGGTGAATTTCAACTGGACCTGGAAATACCAGTGGTGGATCAGGTAATCCCTCACCAGACTTTAATTTCATAAACACACAAAACAGGTTCACTCCCAGGCCAAATAATTTATCAGTTAAACTAAGTCCCTATTTGATTCCAGATCCCAAATGAAAATGGTTGCAATACATGATTAGAACATATTGGAAAACAGTACTTTGAAATGTATGGGATTTCACTGGTCTTGACAGACTAGCCAGAGGAACAAAAGGAACAAGAACCAATATGCTTTCCTAATAGATATGATAGATAAAAAATTGAAACCAAAATACAAATTATTTAACTGTACTCTAATATTTTTAGATGGTAAATTAGCACTATTCCTGGGTCAGCTGTGATTTTTTCTATCATATATATTTCATCATTTAGCATAAAAAACCTAAACTACATTTCATTTGCACTTCTATGAAAATACTAATATTCCTTTTTTTTTTTTAAGTACATGCCACTTGTTACTAACGTTCGACACACAGAAAGCATTTTTTTGGTGCCATTTAATTCAAGAAATATTACATGTTGAGCTAAGCATAGTTCTAGGCTTATCTCTAATGTGGTAGAGATCTCAAGACGACATAAGAATGGGCAATAAAAATGACTAGAAGTACCAAATTGCTTCCATGCAAGGAATGGCTAAATAGACTGGAGTCTCTCAACCTAGGAAAGACTGAGGGGGTCGTAATTAAGAGTGGCATGGAAA